GAAACTGCGGAGGAAATCGGGCGAAGCCCCGAGTCAAAATGCAGCCCCGGAGCTTCGGGTGTGAAATTGACATGTTTGTGTCGGGGCAAACGGCGCTGTGCTGCGAGGCAGCTCTAGTGAGAAATCGCCCTGTGTGATCTCCAGCCCTCACCTGGAGATTTGCAACCATAGTTTCCCCCAACAGACAAGAAGAGCAAACTGTTTAGAATGTTGGAGGCAGGACTCAGGCAAAGCAGACAGTGGATAGGGAGACCCTCTGAATGACAGATCAGAGAGCGAACTCATTTTGGAGTGTGTTGGAATGTTCAGGGGAGTCCCTTGATCTCAGTTCCAAATCCAGATCTTGGGTAAAGATCTTGCAAGATCTCTGCTTGAGATCTTGGAAAGCAACTGACACCAGTGTTGACTGAAGATGAGTTAGCAAAAGGCATTTCCAGATGCTCAAACCGAGAACAGCCCGCCTGCTGCCTGGAGATTTCTGTAGCAGAAAAAGCTTCCAATGATGAATCAGTAAATTAACAAGGCGACCACTTGACATTCAAAAGCAATCATTAGCAGTTCCTCTTCTAAAGCCAGTGGAAGATGCCATTGCATTAAACTGGCTGGCTGGCACAGCAATAAAGTGAACCGAAAACTTTGTTATTGTCCCTTTCACTATTCTGCCCAAGACTGTCTGCTTCCATGACCTGCTTTAATTCCTGCCCCAATATAAAGGTCACTGGACATGATATGTTCAGATTGACATTAAGTAAAAGTAAAGGTAAAGGTTCCCTTGCTCGAAAGCCAGTCGAGTCCGACTCTAAGGTTGCGGTGCTCATCTCCGTTTCAAAGCCGAAGAGCCAGCGCTGTCCGAAGACATTCCCGTGGTCACATGGCCGGCATGACTAAACACTAAGGTGCACGGAACGTTGTTACCTTCCCACCAAAGTGGTACCTATTTATCTCCTTGCAATGTCTTGCTTTCGAACTGCTAGGTTGGCAGGAGCAGGAACTAGAGAAAGGAGCTCACTCCGTCATGCGGCACCCGGGTCTCGAACTGCTGAACTACTGACCTTCCACAGCCTGCAGTTCAGTGTCTTAACCACTTGAGCCACTGCAGCTCCTTGACATTAAGTACTTCATTACAATAAAGAGAGATTTCAATATGTCATTGAGACCCCTGCTACAAGCAACGGGGGCTTAACTCTGGCTAGGTGGTCCCACTTGCTGATTTCCAAAGGGTGCTGCAGAAGCCTCCAGAAACAATCTGCGGAGTTCAGAATATCCACTCAGCCTTGCCAGGCCAGATGCTTTCCAATAGCAAAGCTTTCTTGCTGGCCAGGGAGGCAAAGGCTGGCCAGCCTTTGTGGTATTCGGAGGTACCCAATATTTCTGAACATGGAGATCTGCTAACATGGCTAGTTGCCATTAACAAATATAAATGTCACAGTATATCAAAGTAGATAAATATTGTTCAAAGCGTCCTTTTCCAAGAATCATAAGAAGACGTTGACGAAATTCCCCGGAGTATGCTTCTGTTTCGTACTTTACTTCTTCTGAACATAGTCAGGTAAACAAAATTTGTGTCCTCCCATTATTCATTCATTATGGATTGCAATCATTCAGAGAAATATATTCAAGATGGTCCTCATCCATTGTTCTAAATAACTCTAAAAGACGAGCATTCTAACAGACCTCTGCAATCCATAATGAATGAATAATTGGAGGAACAATATCTGCTTTGATATATTGTGACATTTGTATGTGTTAATATATTTACACTTTGCAGTGCTCTGTGTGGCAGCTTTTTTGTATTTTTTGCAATAGTGTCTTGTAGCTGTGACCTTCGCTTTTTGTTAGTTGCCATTAACAGACATACACTCTCTGGATTTTCCAAATCCTTTCCCAAATCCACCTAGTAGCAGTCACGACATCTTGTGACCGTGAGTTCCACAAGTTCCAGTTCTCCTTGTGCATTGCCTGAAGAATGTCTTTGTTTTGTTTGCCCTGAACCAAGCACCAATTGCGTTTGTTAGCTGTGGGAGAGAAAGAACAACATTTCTGTCTGCCGACTACCCTCGCACTTTCCATGCCCTTCCTACTGCTGTGGTATCCTTTCTCAGATGGTCTGACTGGAATGAGACACAAAACAGCACGAGCCTCATGGTCATGTCCTGAAACATCCCCCTCCCGCTTCTGTGCTAAAGAAGATTCAGCCCAGCCAACTTGCCACCTCCCACCCCAACTTGCGTCTTTTAGTTTGCCCCAAATGAAAGGCTGCCTTGCACCCGTGTTGCCCTCTACCACCTCAGAGCGGCGCCCCGGATTCCGAGGGAGGCCACCCGCCAGAGAAGGGCCTAGAGACATCATTCTCCGGTTACTTCCTGGAGATATTCCCAGTCCCTTTTCTGAGGCTGAACATTCTTCTTTCCCGGCCCAAACTGCTTTCCCTCAGAGATGCGCAGCACAGCAAACTCACGTGTATATCCAGATACAGCCTGGGCAGGGTCTTCACGCACGGCTCCTGTAGTCAAAACAAAGAACATCACGGGTACTTTGGGTGGAAAGGCTTTCACACCCCCTATCTGTATCTCCACAGAGAAATGACTGTTTGTCGAAAAGAAAACAAGCCCTCACCACAGTTTCAAATTTCTGCAGATTCACGTAACTTTCTGTGATTTCCTTCCCCAACGACAACACCCTCGAGTAGCACGTCGGAGGAGCTGAGTGGATGAGCAGAAAGGCCCCGAACAGCCCTGTCAGCCCCAGCAGGCGCCTCATATTGGAGCAAGGGGCAGCGGACGAAATCCCACGGACTCTTGCCAAGGGAAAACGCTGGGTGGACTCACCTTTGTGCTCAGCCCACAACTTAAATAGGCTTCAGTGTGAATGAAAAAACTGCCGGGGGTGGTCCGGGGAGCTGCTGACTGCTGGTTTGAATTTCCTCCTGCTGAGCTGTGAGCCAAAACTGCAAGAATTTTTTTTTTAACCCTAAGGCAAAGCAAAAAAGGAGGAAATCTTACCAAACAAACACCACTGGAACACTTTATGCCCCAGAGAAAAGCCCAAGCAAACATCTTACAAAACACAGATGCTTCCTTGCTGAAAGGGGGACAATCGACAGGGGCTCCACAAAGTGCTACAGGCTGCAGTGCTTCCCTCAAAGCCTTGGCTGGATCCTCAGTCCTAAAGGAGTTGCTCTGCCATCCCTCTTTCCTACCCGGGGCAGTTAATTGTAGACTCAAGTCCAGCAGTCTCCCATTGTATTCTCCCCTTGAAGCTTCTCTGTTTGAGGACTGCCACTCGTAGGTCAGCTATGGAATGACCTGGATGAGGGAGGCTTCAAGGAGAGATTGCAATGTGAGACTGCTGAACTTGGCTTCATCCACTAATACGGAACAATGGACCATCCAGGGCTGAATAGGGATGTAGGATTCTTATCTCACTACAGATGCTAATTTCCTGCCCCCCAGCACCCGCCCTCTGCTTTAATCAAGCTGATTACATTGTTCATTGTACTTCTGCACCCTGAGTTCCTTCTCTGTAACCCCTTCCCACCTCCCGACTGGGGTATAAGATCACCATTCCATTTTGAATCTGATGAAGGTAACTCTGACTCTCCAAAGCTTCTGCTCCCACACTCTTGCTGGCCTCCAAGGGGTCCTAGACTTGGATCCTGCTGTTCTCCTGAAACCCACTGAGATGATCTAGTTAGAAAATGTTGCGGTTGCCTCTCCAGAGAACCTTTTCTTCCCAAATGGTGGCGCTTTCCACAGGTGCTTCCCCCCCCCCGGTGCAAGAAGCTCTTCTGCGCCATCGGCAGGAGGTGGGGCCTCGTGGCAGGGGAAGGCATTGCCCTCAGCAGAACCGATCCCGGAATCCAACCCACCGAGGGCGACGCCGGCCAGTTCTCGCTTCCGCTTTACAAAGGCAGCCACATCCCACCGACTCTAATGAGATGTAAATCTCAGTCGCAACACTGCTGAGAATCAACACAAAGCACCACTGTCCTTTTGCAAAGCAACTGATCCCGGTGCACAGAGTCAGTATTTATCCATCCCATTAACTCCCCAGGAGGCAAAGAGAATTGTTCACTTTTGTTGTGACATTGCCCTGAGTATGGCAAATCTCCATTTGTCGGAAGGTGCCTGTCTCTGTCAAAGGAAGACTTCCGCACTAGACCTTAACTCCTGGTTCAACCCTGTCCTCAAATTTACATTCTGCAGTACACGCACGTTCACCCCTGTAATTATCTCGGGGTATTTTTTGTTTCCACATTACATTGAGGTCACCCTGGTTTCTCCCCACACTTGTCCCGGGATAAACGGATGGTGTTATAATCAGGGACAAGTGCAAGGTATTGTGTCACAAGTTGAACTCCAATAAAACCAGGGATGAGCTCCAAGTGCAGAAAGGACCTTGACGGAAGGGGGCCATTGGCTCTTACTGAATGGAACTGAATTGCCCGCTTCAACCCCCAAAGTATCTTGAATCTAAAGCAGCAACACCATTTGGAAGCCCTTCTCCCTGAACTCGGTGGGACTCCCTTCTGTGGAAGCCTACTTGGCCTCATCCAGCATGCCTGCTTGAAACGGCCTTTTAATTTTCATCCAACCCCAAAACAAGCGCAGTCAACTTTCCTGCGGGTTTTGCTGGAATTGCTTGCGAAGGCTGATTGAGTGGGGGAGCTCAGGGGCACAGCAGAGAGGAAGGCTCCCCCCCCCCCCCCCCCCCTTTCTTTTTTGTCGCCTTTCATTTTCTGCCTCAGAGTGCCACATCATTGTTGCCTCAGCAAGATTGACTTCGTCCTCAGCAAATTCACTCAACAAGCAAATGTCAGCCGCACACTACAGGCATGGTGAATATTCTCGTCATAAGTAAGGGACTTGGTTCACTCTCCCCCCACCCCACAGAAAAAGTGTTCATTATGAATTCTAAATTAACTCTAAATTCACCAAACAGACCAGGGTACATAAATGTTACCGAGTGTGTGAGATGAGTCAGGACTCATGAGGCTTGGGTTCTTCTCATGAGGTTTGGGTTCTCCTCCGTTTCGGTGTGCGCGCGGCAGCCTCTGTTGCAAATCAGGACTGTGTCATATTTGGAGAAAGGGCTTTGGCCTGCTCCCTCTAGTTTTCAGGTTGCCAACCTCCACGAGGCACCTGGAGCTCTCCTGCTGTTACAATTGATCTCCAGGTGACCGGTTGCCCTGAAGAAAATGGCAGCTTTGGAGGGTGGTCTCTATGTCATTATATACCCTGCTGAGGACCCTCCTCAAACCCTGCTCACCCCAGGCTCCACCCCCCCCAGATCTCCATCCCAGAGCGGGCAACCCTGTCTATTTTTCATATCAGAAATGGCCCTGGGGGTGCTATTTGGCCTGTTTGGACACACATGGATCTCCTCAGTTGGCCAAATAGTTCCTCTAAGGCCATTTCAGGTGAGAGAAATGGCTCCCGGGGGGGGGGACACACGATGAAGCCCCTTCTCGAAGTATGCAACGATACCAATCTGAATTGGACACCAGCTACAAGGGAGCTGATGAGAACACATAACTCACATCTGACTGTACAGAGAAGTGTGGATCCCAGACCCAAACTGTGTCATCTGTAATGTACGGATTTGCCTGAGCTTGGTGTGCAGCTGCATTTTACTTGGTAGTGTTAGTTCCAGGAGGAAATGGTTAGGATGGTGGGGCTGGGCAGAAAGTGGACCATCATGGCTTGGAAGTACTCTGACTGAAGGCAGTAATTAGTATTTTGAGGGTGTATCAGAACTCTTTGCACATCACATTTGAAAGATGTCGACCTACAGATTTTTTTCTTAAAGTAAGCTAAACAAATATGAATGTGACAGAGAGAGATGTTGGTGAAAGATGTGCTATCAGATGGGTTTACTTCTCACACAGCCTGAATCGACTGCAGCTCCCTTTTAAAAATACACCTGGTGACAAACACAAGCTTGTTGCTATGCAATGTGTCGAGCGTCTCTGGAGATGTCCCAAGTGTGCACTGATGAACATTTGGAGGGAGTGGGTGGGGTTGTTCCTCCTCTTCTCACCCCTGAACATTATGTCTGAGAGGTCCCCCAATCTCAGCAGAGCCAGAAAATGTATGGCAGAGGAGGGTGGGAGGCAGCCCATGGGTCACGTAACGGGATTTTTGTGAACAGCATGGATATGAGGAGTCTCCCCTTCCCTGGTTACCTACGGACACTCCAGGGGAGGGGGGCGTTGAGGACTGGTGGTGCCACGTTAGGGATGCCTGGCTAATCCTCCAACAGACTTTGGACAAGGCTAAGGCTGCCTATAAAGCTCAGGTGGGCCGTAAACGTCTCCCAGCTTGGGAGGTGCAGGTTGGGGACAGGGTGCATGTCTCTTGAACTTGAAGCTCTTACAACCTAGCTGTAAATTGGGTTGGAAATACATTGGCCCTTTTTCTGTAATAAGGAAGATCAATGGGTGTGAATCATCACTTGGGTGTCAATGCCTCTGATTCTCCCGCTCACCCCTGAACCGTTAAACAGTTCCCCACGTTTTGTCTTCATTGCTTACTGGCCTCTACGTGTCAGGGGGTCTTGTATGAACCACTATATTTACTATTGCCATTTTGTATGCATCATTCCTGACTCAATGATTCCAAGCCGACTTCATCTTACTCTGATCAATAAAGCTGAATCTAGTTAAGAACCTGCTGTTGATACTGAGTCATTGAAGTACCTGACATTGACCTACATCCTGTGGGTAGGATGCCATAAGAGAAGAAGTACTTGGGACTCCGGAAGGGAGAAGGCAGCAAAAACGGCTTTCCAGCCTCTAACCTCAGGGGCACTTGACGGGCTTCGGTGAGGCACAAGTGCCCTCGTGGTGGGGCAACTGGCTGTGCTGCTTCCATGCCCAAGTCGTGATGCCACCCACAGACTGGAACTGACAACCTATTTGTTTACCTTTTCCCGGAACACAAATACAAACTTTAAAGGAGAAAAATAAGGGTCTCATGATTTAACTGATGACATTTTTAAGATGCCTGGACTTGTTTGCTTTTCATTTTCCAGGAAAAAAATGAAAACAAAATATTTTTTTTAAATATGAAAGGACTTTCTGTTTGGAGACAAATTCCTCTTGGGGTGAAAAAGTCTAGTGACACACCAGACAGATTTCCCTATTATCCCCTACCAGTGGACAAATTACATAAGTAAAAACCTGGTTTTTAATGAATGAGCTTATTTAAAAATAGCCCAGTGGCCACAAGAGACACTTCATGAAATGCAGCCCTGATTGCAGTCAAAAAAAGGAAAACATCCGCGGACAGAGCAGTCTTGTGCATTGAGGAAATGGCCAGTGGGGTCCTTGCAGCGGCCTGTGAGTGAAACAACAAAAGTGCCTCTTGGAAAGCCAGACAGCAGCTCTGAGCTCTTTTAGCAAAGCTTTAGCAAGGTTGGGTCTCCCTCATCACACAAGGTTTCAAGCCAAATTTGGATTCATTGAATTATTATATCACAGATTGTCTTATCCCAGAGAATGAGGGAGGAGGGTAACAAAAGCAGAAAGAGGCTTATGTCTTTTCCAGCCCCCTGCCCTTCAAATACTTCAAGAGAGCAATCATGTCTCACCTCAACCTCATCTCCAGACTAAACATTCCCAGTTCCTTCAGCCTTGGTCTCCAGACCCCCGATCATCCTTATCACTCTTCTTTGCACCTACTCCATTCTGTCCACATCCTTTTTGAAGTGAGGCCTCCAGAACTGCACACAATACTCCAGTATACAATATAATTTCCTTGGGATGCTCCCATGTATCTAGAGA